CGGCGCGACGAGGCAAGACGACTGACGACTGCGGGCCCGGCGAGTCGGCGCCGTGCAGGTGCTGGAGGAGGCGGTCGTACTGCGTGAGGCGGCCGCATCGGCGGCAGCGGAAGAGGGCGGTCGCGCGACCGAGGACGGCGTCGACGTCGGCGGGCGGGAGGGCGGCAAAGGCGGGCTCGAGGGAGGGAGGGTCACCCTCAGTGAGGAGGGTCCGTGCGGGTCGGTCGCTCCAGAAAGACGAGAGCCACTGAGGCAGAGGGTCTCTGCAGAAATTCACGTCCTCGCGCGGATTTGCCTGTTCGGACTGGCCAGTCTGTCACTCTGCGACTGCGACCACGAGCCTGCTCTCCTTGCCGAGCCGCACGAACGATAAGATATGCCCGGCTCTGATACACATGCCCCCTTCTAGGCTCGAGTGAACAACATCAACGCACAGTGTCTGTTTGTCTGAGGGCCCAGCCCCCCTCAACTCAAACGACGAGCGCCGCCGCGCCCGCCACGACTCCCAGGAGCGAGAGGACGAGCGATGGAGGCGCAGAGATGGGCAGCGCGCCCGATGTGGTGATGCCCAATGCGACGCCGCCTTTCGAGGTGCTGTGAGCAGCAGTGGCGGGAAGGGGGGAGAGGCCATGTCAGCGGGACGATCGAGGCGAGAAGGAGAGGAGAGCATCAGAGGGGGAAAGGCGGCGCACTCGGCGTAGTACCTGCGTCACAAGATCGTCAAGTCAGCCCTCCGCTCCAGCGCACACAAGGCGACGAGACCGACGCACTTTGGCTTGTCGTCGTACCCGCCTACTTGGTACTCCGGCAACACCTGGTTCCCGGTCCCACACGTCGACCCGATGACATAGTTGCACGCGTTTTTGCACTGTTGCGGGCTCGTGACGGGTGGCGAGGCGGCCGGGTTCTGGCACTGGTCGAGGCAGGCGCTGGTGCGGAGGCGGCAGTCTGTGCGTGTGCGCGGGAGAGGCGGAGGTGCCAGGCGCGAGAGGGGAGAGTGCGCGGGAGGAGAGGCGAGGGGAGGAGTCGGAGAGGAGAGGGTCAGCTGGCGAGCGCAGGACAAGGAGCGGCGACAGAGAGGGACGCACCGTAAGTGTTGACGGGGACGACGAGCGCCTGCAACCGGCTCTCGCTGCCCTTGCTGCACTTGCAGTTCCACCCGAGCGTCTCCGGGTTGCAGCTGGTCGGGGTCGCACGTCCCCGGTCAGCACGCGACGATCTCGCGGCGGGAGAGGGCGAGGAAAGGAAGCGAAAGCGGACGGCGCACGCACAAGTTGTCGGTGAGGGTCCCCTGTCCCGAGCAGCCTGCTGTTGCGCAGTAGGCCGTCGTCTGATTGCAGATGGAGGTGCGCGTCGATTCACTCTGCGGCGGGTCGAGTGTGGGGGGCAC